GAACAGTATCTTCAGTTTTCTAAGAGGTGCCAGCTGCAGAACCCCAACCTTAGCAAAATTTCTTTTGCAAATCTCTTGCCTATATACCTACTTGAAATATATATTAATTCCAAAGAAAACACTTAAATCCCTTACTATTATGCATAAGTGAATTTTCTCCTAACACTCACTATCCTCTCCTAGCCTTCCTACTGGGTTTAGCTAAATGGAAATTGGCTTTGTGTTCAGTTTTTTCCCATTTGAACATGGCCAAAAGGCCTTGACAGCAAGGTATCTATGTGGGATACTTTCTGGAACCATTTTTAAGAATTCAGTAGAACTGGTTCTACAGGAAACTTCCTTATTAGCCCACACACTGAATGAAATTAAAACCTTGAATATCTTAGAAAGCAGCCACTCTAATTATGAAATAAAGATGTTACAAACAGAAAAAGGCATAAATACAAAAAAAAGTGAAATACATCAAGTAGGTCATCCTTCCCCTGGTTCTTGAGTCAAAACCGTGATGCATCCAAGGGCTGTGCAGCAGTTGTAATGGATGAGTATGATGGATTCAAAATAGAATGACAGGTGTTTCTTCACAAAATGGGTTGTTAGCCTAAGTATTTTTCCTTGACTGAGATGGTACAATATGAATACATGACAAGTAACAATCTCTATTAAAGATATAAAAATAAGAAAACTAAGGAGAATGTCTGCTCAGAAAGGCTTTGACAAAAAGAGATGGACCAGCAATAGTAAACATGCCCATTTAGAAGATCAGAAACTTCTCCCACACACATAGGGAAGACTTTACACTGCAATGATGCAAAATGTATGTAATGAGTCAATGGTGCTTTCCCTCAGTGTTGAATTTAATTTGCCAGCCAATTGCAAAGTCTAATACAGCGAAATAAGACATTTATCCTTTATGGACACTCAAAAGAGTATTTGTGTTTGAGTATGTTTTGTTTGAAAGAAAAGAACAGAGAAAACTCATAACAACACAGGGAGTATCACACAAAAGTGCTTACAGTATGTGAACAGCGGGCTTTGAGATTAGAATCTAAGTATTTCACCTCAAATAACCTCCCAAGTATGAAAAGAAAAATCACATTCTGTTCCAGCAATCATCATACAATTCATTATGAAATGAAACTTGCAAATAGCCACCAGTGTATTTTTGCATCCAATGACCAATTTCATACTGTCACAACACATAAATCACTAATAAGTCTAACAGACTTATACAACCAAAAGGAAATCTTTTCACATGCCAAAGTGAATTAACTATTCACCAAGTTTCCATTAATAAAACAGTAAAATAAGAATAAAAAAGAAATCCAAAGCTCTGCTGACTGTCCACCTGGGGAACTTGGCATTCCTACCCATCAGTCGTGGTTAGTTATCATGCCTGCAAAACTGCAGACCTTCTCCCAGGGCAATGTGATCAACAGGAAAGTTCAAGGACTAGAATCTGTAAAGACTGTTTTCTAAATATCATTTTTCAAGGACTAATCAACTTAAATGTGTTTATACAAATGGTCCATCTGCAATTTCATACAAAACCCTGACCTGCAGCATGTACCAGGGAAATGAGGTGCGTGGTTGGAAGGACAGAGAAGCAGGAACTTCTTCCTGCTGCAAAAAGCACCCAACTCTGCCCCCTTTCCCCAGAATCCAGTGTCCAAGAGGCAGAGGGAATATGTGCTTCTGTGTTACTATCCTTTTTCTCAAAGTAAAGACAGAGCTAACATTTCAGACTTAATTCTAAGTTAATATTGTGGCAACAATTTGACATTAAATCCCCAAAATGGATTTTGCCAGGCTCTCTTCTCACTCAGAGTCCACTTCCCAGACTTGAAGAAGCTTTTGGCACAGGCATGACCACCAAACGTTCATCTTTTTATTTCCTATGATTATCTCAAGCAGCAGATAACAGGATGGCCTGAGCGCATGATTCTGGGGCCCCAGTTTCCAGACCTTCAGGAATAATCTTGATTTTAAATATGGTCTCCATCACTTGTAAGAATACCAGTAGTTGTCAGCCTATTAAGTCTTGATGTCTGGCCTGGAAAACTGAAAAATAAAAAATGTAGAATAAGGTCCAAATTAAAGTGGCCTCACGCAGAATTTTTATAAATGTTGCTTCAAACACTCAATATTGCACACATCTTGGCTGAGTGATAAAAACCATTACCCTCTGAAAGAAGGAAGAATGCTCAGTAATCTCTGCTACGTCTTGCGCAAGGACTTTGCAGGCCGAGAAAATTAAGCTCCATGTCAGTTAGCAAACAAATGTGCTATCTCAAAAGGTAGAAAACAAGAAGTCTAGAAATGGATAGAGCCCAGGAAATGGACCCAGATCCTTTCTGTAAGGCCTTTCCAAGCTGTGCTGATTTATTTCAGCTTGACTAGAAACCCAACAAATTAGCAATAGCCTGTGTTTTATGAAATGCTACAGAGAGACAATGGCATTACTCCAAGAGTTACTCCAAAGATGTGGAACCAGAGAAATTACTGCCATGGATCTTGGAGCAGTGATTTTCTTCCAAAGCCACAAATGCCCTCACTGAAATTATTAAGCGCTGTTTTTTGCAAAATGGTAGTTTTGCATATAATCTAGATTCACTCCTTTATATTCCAAACAGTCCATGTTCCTAGAAGCCATGCAAGATTACTTTTAAGACCCCTAAGAACATTTTTCTTACTTGAGTTATGAGAATTTCAAAAAGTACTTAGCATTTTTTTAAGTTTCAAAATGTAAAAGGAAAATGCTCCAGTGGCAGACTGAAACAGCAATAAAGTAATTTTTTAAATAACTGTTAAGATTTAAAAATAATAATAAAGACTGTCCCCATTAACTAATGAACCTGACAATTAGAATTAGTTTTTGTCCAACAGCAGTGAAATCAGAAAAAAAATACATCTTCAAAATGGATTATCAAGAATAGGGGTAGTTCAAAATGATCACAGCAAATTCATCCAGAAAAAATACTGCAGCAATGTTAATACTTACCAACCAATCTCTAAATTGACTGTTCTGTCTGTTAAGCTTGAAATATAAAGTCAGAACTTTCCACAGATTTATGATCCCAAGAAATTGGTGATCACTTAGGTACTAAATAAGGCAGCAGTCATCACCTTCTTAGTACTCAAAGGACATTTGAATCCCCTGGGCACTTAGGCCCAGATTCTGCCTTCAGAAAAGCAAGAGTCACCTGACCTTTGCAAGACAAAACCAAGTTTGCAAGTAAAAGGAAGGATTAGTTCCTTTGAATCCTAAAAAGAATGGGACAAAACACAAAACTTTTGCACTTTACGCAAACCAATTTTGCCAATCTATAAAGCATTCCATGACAAAGCCCTAGGAAGCCTTAAGGCATCTTGGCCCCCTGCTCTCAGGATTGAAAGAGATCTGTTAAGAGATCTATTAGGGAAGCAGGGGTTGATAAATGTTTGCAGAATGAGTAAACTAGATGAGAGCTTGGAAGACTGAATTAAGCCCTAAATAAAATGCTACTACTCTTAAGTGTTAAGTGCAATGCTGAGATTTAGAAAGAAAGGACTAAATTGAAAGTTATTTTAACATAGGGTTCACTTGACCCTAACTTGGTAAACAAAATAAAGTCAAGTCAATACTACCACCTGATACACAAGAAACGAAACTGGCCCACAAAATTGCAGACTAAGATTGAAAATCTTTTTTAAAAGTCAGTTTGACTGTTTTTTCCAAGCATGTTCATTCTTTAATATTGCTTCCATTATATTTACAGGTGTGAGTGTCTGTAAGACATCACACTTCCACTCAACAAACATGACACTTCTGAACTATTACTATACTAAAATATAAGCCTCTGTAAAATGCCCAATAGAAATGCTGTTACTCAGGATAACAATCCCTTATTGTTTAGCACTCAGAAGATGTTAATGAAAAATAGTAATGACAGGATTGTGAGTGCATCACTATATAAGATGAAATGAGAACAAATTCACTGTTTTCAGTTTTCTACAAGAAAAATGAGGATCATTACAAAAAAGGTTCACAATGGATCTCTCTGGATACCCAGTTCTCCTGGACAACCTGAAATATTATTCAAGGTACACAAAATTATTTTACATACACATCTTAAGGAAAACAAACAGAGAAAAACTACATGTGTGTTTATCTAATATCTGTTCAGCCATCAGAGAGTTCTTGACATATATCCAACATACAGGTAGGCCCTGTCCTCAAGGTCATTCTTATTGTAATCAGTTGAAACTAAACCCCGTTCTCCATTGTAAACTCAGAAAGCAACCTGGTTATTTTGCTAGATAAAGCGGTAACATTTTCCACTTCTGAAATATATAATACCCTAAAAACTGGTTTAGGTACCTAATAGACATCAAAGGTGCGCTATGCTCCCCCTATTGGCTAATATTAAAAATAACAATGAATTCCCCAGAGGCTGCCTTTCAAGTGCTAGGATTCAAAAGTAAGTTGGTGATTTTCATATTTAAAAACATGAACTGGATCAACAGTTGTTAAGCAAAACTGCCATGTAATGGTCAGATTCCATCAAAACAGGAAAAATTAAAGTTGACAAATGACAAAGACAAACTGAAGGGCTGAAAATATGGTGAAACCTTGAAACACTAAACAATGCAGAATTAAAGCCAAAAGCAGAGAATACCAAGAAACAGAACAACATCCTTTAACTGACACAATGGCATGAAATCAATTTCATTTTAATAGTCCTTAAGGGGCTAAGAATTATTTCCCTGCCTCCTGTGCCAACCCGAAGCTGTTTCCTAAGGAAGCCAAGTAACACTGACCAACAGTGCCTGGAGAATTAATAAAAGAAATAAATAATAAAGACTCATATTAAATAAATCATAGTTGTATTTACAATTACTTGGGCCCGGTTTCCGAGGAGCTGTAATTTGGCACCCCTTTTAAGTATATCACCTAAGTCAATTGCAGACACCTTAATTTGTGTTTCAAGAACTGTGTCCCAAGTCACATGGGAAGAGGAAAGATGTGTGAAGGCGCGAAGACTCGCTGCACGCAAATCTGCCTGCACTCGCTGCTCTCTGCAGAGCGCCCAGAGTCAGAACCAACAGAAAGTTACGTATGAGCTCAGAAAAGTAACTAACCACTACAGTCTTACCTGTAAAATGGGGCTAATTAATAGTGTTTTTACTAGAGAGTTGGTTTGAAGATTATGCGTCCCTAAGACATTAAGCAGAGTGTCTGGCACACCGTTTGGGCTCAGTAAACATTAGGTGGTATTATATTATTATTATTATTTTATTATTATTGTTATTACCGGGGAGAAATCATTGATTTCACACTGTAGTAACTGTTCGCAGCCTGAAGTACCATTTCAGGAAAATTAAAATGTCTTGACATGTGCTTTGCTACCTATAGAGACTTCTCGCCACCCAAGCAGCCCACTTGCTCTCTCCTTCGAAGAGAGATGGAGTTCAGAGGACACCCGGTTCCCCATCTCCGTCTGTCACTCCTACCATCCCTTACTCTCTTTCCGTTTCTTCCATCACCTCTGGGCTCCGGACACGCAGCGCTAACGCCCGCACAGCGCTTGCTGGGCACCAGGCACAGTTGTAGTACTTTAAAAATACTAAATCATTCAACCCTCACAGCGACCTTGAGAGACCATTACTATTAATTACTCCCATTTCACTGCTAAGGAAATGGGGCGACTTTCTTTTCTCAGCTCTTCTTGCAGTCACTAAACCCATTAAGTTCTGCCCTGCCAAGGTAATTCACGCTTGACTGCCGACTCCCTACACTACGTGTTTCTGGAAAGTGGGGCAAATGTCCTAATAAGAACAAGACTGCACGCAGATTCTTCTAGCAGCAGCCCAAGTCTTCCAAGTTTGTTCTCACCAAATGAACATGCTAAGAGAAGCCTTCAAAATAAACCGAGTGCGCTGGCTGACAAGTTAGCGGGGGGCGCGCTCTCTGCGGGGCCGCGGCTGCCGTGCTCCCCGAAGGCGCCCGCACTGGGGAGCGTCGCTCGCGTCCGCGCGAGTCCCGGGACTGCCGCGGCAACGGCCGCGGAGGGCAACCCCACCACGAACCTCTCCCCCGGTGCTGTCACGCGCCCGGGGCGCCCCGCGGGGGGTCCGAAGCAATCGCGCGGAGGAGGCGTGGGGCCAGCGGCGAAGACGTCTTCCCCAGGCTGCGCATCGCCCTGGGCGCTGCCCACCCGCGCGGCTGCTCCCCACGCGCCGCCGGCCATGGGTCCCGGCCCCTGGGGACGTCAACACGGCCGGTCCAACGCCGCCTCCCGAGCCCGGGGATCCGGGCAGCCGGGACGACCCCGGCCGTGACAGGCACCGCGCAGCTTGCAGAGCCGCGGCCGGGAGTCCCCGCGCGGGCTGGAGTGCGGTGGGCCCGGGGAGCACGTACCTCGGAGGCGGTGTGTCAGGCGGAGATCCGCCGCCGCAAGTCGGAGGAAAGCAGAGGAAAGTTTCCCCGCCCAGCGCTCCGGCAGCTGCTGCGCCGCGGCGCAACTACGCCATCCGGACCCGCCGGGGACTTTCACCTCCTGCAGGGCGCCGGGAAAGCGGCCGCGCACGAGAGCCGTCGACTTCCCTCCTCACTCACTGGGAAGAGGAAAGCGCCGCTCGGCGTCCCCACACCCCTCGAGTACCCCCATCGGGCCGACCCAGCGCCCTCGCTCTCCCTCGCACACACGCGGGCGGGGACGGGCAGGACGCCACAGCAATCAGCGAGCGGGGGGAGGGGCGCTCCTCCTCCGCGGTCCCCGCCGAGCGCTGCGGGCTGCCCAGAAACTCCTCCTCCGGCCGCCCGCCTCCTCTCTCCTCCCCCTTTTCCTCCCGGGCTGATGGATGAGTCCCGAATGCTGCGCGAGCCTGCGTTTCCCCTCGGGCGGAGAAGAGAGAGAGAACGAGCCCCGGGAACGGCCGGGCGGGTGCTGCGCGCCCGGCCTGGGACGGTGGGTGGGAGTCCCAGTCCTCAGGGCAGAGCGGGGGCCACAGGCGCGTACTGCAAGGAGTCGCTCCTTCAGATTCGGTCCTTCAAAGTGTCCAGGCTCTCTGGAGGCATCGGGTTTTTACTGGGTTCCCCTCCGTCTTGGTATAAAACTTACCCTCTTGCTCACTCCCTGGCAAAACGCCCCCAAGCAACATTCATTCTGTCCCTGTTTGTTTTTCCCACCTCCAAGCCTGCATGTATCTCAAGATGCGCGGATGGTAGACACCCCGGGGGTCTTGACAACAGCTGAGAGTGCATTACCCAGCCGTTACCCCTGCTCTCTAACTAAAGTAATGCAAATACAGGCTTTAGGTCAGCATTACTGGCGTTACCCTAAGGTTGGGGCAATATAAGAGATGGTGTCGCGGTCGTGCAGCTTCCTGCTGAAATATGCCGGTAAACTGTACTCTGCAGGAGTTGACGAATGCAGTGATCAGAACCCCTCTTTGTGACTCCTGTTTACACCCCGTTTCTCTATTAAAAGTTGTGTTTAAATGACAGGACACCTTTACCAATAGGCTGATGAAACCACCGTCGCCTGAGAGGTTTCCAAGACCAGACTTCCAGCCTTGCCTCTCCTCTTAGACCAGCTCTGGGACCTTGGACAAACGGCTTCAAGTCTCCAATTCTCTGTTTTCTCCTCTGTAAAATGAAGAACTTGGCCTAGCAGACCTCTTCTAGTTCTAAAGTGCTACGGTCCTAGGCCTTTAATATGCTGGAGAATTGAATGGACAGGTCTCAGATATTATTACAATTGACCCTTGAACAACACAGATAGGAACTTAGTGGGTCCACTTATATGTGGATTTTTTCCAATAAATATATTGAAAAAATCTTTTGGAGATTGGCAACAATTTGAAAAAACTCCAAGATGAACGGTGTAGCAGAGAAATATCAAAAAATTTAAGAAAAATGGTTCCTTAATACTTTACACAAAATATGTGTAGATATTGGTCTATTTTATCACTACCATAAAAATCAACATTTTTGTCATTAATTTTGGGGGAGCTGAAGTCTGAAGTTATATATGGATTTTCAACTTAAGGGATCCAAATATTATTATTTGGAAAGTTACTGGATTTCTCTACTTTGAGAGAAGAGGAAGTATTTCTCATATTTTTTCTTATATACCTTGTACACAAAGAATCCACCCAACCAGAGATACTTTAACAAAGGTCAAAACATCTTTGATGACCTGGATTACTGCAAAAATTTCCTCAATGAACTATTCATCCCCTGCCAGTATTTACGGAGCATCTACTCAATAAATATTGAATGAAAGGCCCGAGCTAGGCCTTGGAGAAACACAGAGGCATAATACCCTGCAAGAACAGTCTACGGTGAAGTTAGCTTTGATATAGTCTCTCTAAAGGCCATACATTTCTCATAGACTCAAATTATATAGTGTATAGTATTCCTGCCTCAAATTGTCAAGTTTTAGTTTCAAGTGCAACATGAACACTTGAACTGCTATGAATATTTAATCCTACATTTAAATGTATCAATCATGTTAAGGCTTTCTGATTTCTGAATAAAATATGGTAGAAGACAAGAGAAAAACCAAGTCCTAGATGAGTTAGGAGTGTCTTGTCTTTTAAAGAGCGATGAAGAGATTGGTCAGAATGAAGGCAGATTCTCAATAGTTTAACCATCGACATCTATTGAACAATTACTCTCTGCCAGGCAGAGTCCTAACATTCTATACATATGAACATATTGACTTCTCACAGCCCGATAAAGCTATGTACAAACTGAGGCCCATGTACAAACCTCTGTATGTACTGAGGCCTTAACTTGCAAGATAGTATAGCTAAGAAGTGGTAGGGACAGGATTCAAACCCACATCCATCTAATTCTGAGCCTAAGTCTTCAGCTACCAGAACATACTACCTGAAAGAACAGTTTGAGGGGGTGTTAGTTGGTTGGGATTTTTTTTTCTTTTTTGCAAAACATCTTTAAAATGAGGGCTATTAAATTAGTTTCAAGAATGATTTTGATTCTAAATCAAGAATGATTTAGAAAAACACAGGAAATCATATCACTATTTTCAAACTAACAATGTTTACAGAGGTATTTTCTCTAAATCTTTATACTAATAATAATATACCATTTGCAAAAATCCAGACACCTGAAGCATCGAGCAAAGGTTTAAAATAAACATAAATTTGATTCCCCAGCTAAGCTCTAGAAAAATGATAATGATTCCTTTTATTAATGATAATATTAACTGATTGGGACTGGGGAATGAACCTCTCCTTTCACCGGTTTCTTACGAATTAGGACTGAATTCAAGTTATAGTATTTGTTACTGTAAGATACAAGCTCCTTTTGGTCCAAGGTAGTGTCTTGGTCATTTGTTCCAAATTTTCTCAAAAAGAATTTTAAGCAGAGGAGTGAAATAAAGAGGTGCACTTAACCTAAACTTGCATAAAAACGTTTGACAGAAGAATCTCAGTGATTTACTGAGGCTGTGTATTCTCACAAGGAACCACCCCTCCGTTGGTGTGGAACCACTCCTTTGTGATGACTCATATTTAGCGGCATGTCTCCAGATTCCGTTGATCAGCAGACAACTGAACAGATTCTTAATAATCTGTTTATGTTCTGGATAGAAGCAAACACCTCAAATTTCTGCAAGGCTTATATCATTAGAAAAACATTTGTTTTTTTAACAAGTCCTCATATAGTACTTACCCCATGTTTTGCGCTTTACAAATTCTAACTCATGAAATCCTTTTAACAGCTCTATTATCGTTTTACAGATAGAAATTTTAAAGATGCACAGAGAGGTTAAATAACTTGCCCAGAGTCACACAACCAGCAGGTGGCAAAGCCAGGTCCTCAGGCTAGAGTCTTTTCTGAACTTCCACTTGTGCTGCTGGTGAAGGTGACCTCCCCTTCCACTCATAAAGTCCTGTTTTTTTCTTCTTTTAAGCCTAATTCTTTAAAAGTTTCTAAAGATAAAAACAAAAGTTTGTTTAGGAGAAATATTACCCCACCACCAGGACATAAAAACAGATTACTTTTGCCCAGAAGAGAAGAAGGGTGTCTTGCCAATGGGTTTCAGCCCTGGACAAGTTCGCTATGGACTCAGTGTGACCAAAGAAATGACAGTAGAACATTCTTGGGATGAAAGGGTTACACCCAACTTTATTTCCACCTGGCAGGCCAATCACTAAAATCCCGTCCACTCAGAGCGAGTCTGTGTGCAGCAGGCTGGTCTCTGCCTCTGGGCCTCTCTACCGGCACAGCCGTCCTCTGGGCTTCTGTCCTAGGCGCTGCCACCACTCCAGGCTCTCCTCTGCTCTTCTGCAGCCGTGCCACTGTGCCGCCCAGAGCACTGGGCGGAGCTCTTTATATAGAGTCAATAACATGTGTGTAGTGAGCCAGACAACCAGGTGAGAATGCTAGCCATCGGAACTTTCACTTTATCCACAAAGGGACACTAACTTTAAAGTTTGTCTGAAACAGACAACATCTGGGAAGCAATTGCATAACTATTCTTAAGAATGTGTGACAGAACATGAACCAAATGTTCCAAAATTGTTGTGACAGGATACTGGTCTACAAACTACAGCATTTATGTGCTCCTATTTTCTGCTCAGTTGATCTATTATTACAGATTTACTACTTCATTTCTAAAATTTACCCATAAAGATTCCAATACATACCTGTAGGTGTTTTATGTATCACCATAACCTAAAGCTTCATTTTCTATGTCTATATCCAAGGTTAGAATTTGGTTTTTGCAGCTGGCAAATATCAAATTAATGAGGAAAAAATACTATCAGGTGAACCTGCATGCAGAGCAGAACCCAAAGCAGACACCTGGCTCAGGCCTGGGGGACTCCTCAGAGAGCCTAGACATAAAAACCCAAAGCCAATTCCCTTACAGTGACCCTGAGTTCCTGCAAACTTATCATTTCCTGTCCCTGTGCAGGAGCCTCCAGGGGAGGTTTCACAATGCACCTTCAATTCCCGCTCAGTGGGGCTTCGGACAAAGCAGGAAACCTCACACCATTTCAAAGTAACAGCAAAACCCCCAAGCTCTGTATGGGATGCAGCAGAATCTCTGCTCTCCCTGCCTCAGGAACAGGGTTTCTCGAGGAAGACGCCCTGGCCATCACCACCATAGCCACTCAGAGAAGCCAAAAAGATGATGGATGCCCACAGGACATAATCAATGTCTGTGAATGTTACAGATCGCTTTGCCGTCATTTATAAAAGAAATGGTGAAACTACTTCTAAAAACACCCAAATTTTAAAATTAGCAATGCAATTGTTATTGACCCTCTGTTATTGTTGTTATTCTTACCCTTTATTGAGCACTTACTCTATGCAAGGTTTTGTTGTAAGTTTAGCCTTATAAAATGTATTTCGTAACACATTTTGAAAATGAGTATTTCCATGTATTTGTTATGAAATTTCCTTAGGTCACCCACTGTTCTTTTAAATATAATCTAGGGAGAAGTAAAGTTTCTAAACTGAGTGTAAACATATACTTTAGAATTCAGTAATAAGCTCAATAAAAATGTGTTTTAATTTTGTATTTTTGTTTTGGTGATAATGTTAAAAAGCAATATTTTACCCTCTTTACTTGGTGGGGTTAATTCATTCTGGGAAGAAGGGATAATTAAAAACCAGCAGACTTTCCTATAATAAAAGACTTTCATTTCTTAAGTCAGAGTTTTTTCAAAGTGGGAAACTATTCCCAGAGGCTCCTAAGAATTATTTTCTTTAAAAGGGGTCCTTACATTGTTGACATTTGAGAAATGTACTATAAAATTTTTAATTAGAATTTCCTTTAAAGTTCCCCCAGTTTACACATACAGTTAATGTTCCAAAAACTAATATTCATCAAAATTTCATAAGCCATATTAAGAGATGAAAGATACATACAGAGGTCAAAGGAAATGTAACAGAAATATAAGGGACAGAAAAGTGTATGTTACTATTCAATGTGAATGTAATGAGTACTTGAGAATTGATATGATCCTTGTTCTGAGATGATCAGAGCAAGGTAACATTGAGCTGGGGATTCACTGGATGCAGAGAATGGAAAGAACAATCTGAACAATGGCAAAGGGATGCTAACATTATAAAGCAGAAGTGCCTGAGACTGGTCTCAAGAAAGAAGTTAGAAAAAGAAAAGATTATTCACCTCCCCTAAGAAACTATGAGGATCTCACAATCCTGTTTGCATTCGCGGCGCAACTACGCCATCCGGACCCGCCGGGGACTTTCACCTCCTGCAGGGCGCCGGGAAAGCGGCCGCGCACGAGAGCCGTCGACTTCCCTCCTCACTCACTGGGAAGAGGAAAGCGCCGCTCGGCGTCCCCACACCCCTCGAGTACCCCCATCGGGCCGACCCAGCGCCCTCGCTCTCCCTCGCACACACGCGGGCGGGGACGGGCAGGACGCCACAGCAATCAGCGCGCGGGGGGAGGGGCGCTCCTCCTCCGCGGTCCCCGCCGAGCGCTGCGGGCTGCCCAGAAACTCCTCCTCCGGCCGCCCGCCTCCTCTCTCCTCCCCCTTTTCCTCCCGGGCTGATGGATGAGTCCCGAATGCTGCGCGAGCCTGCGTTTCCCCTCGGGCGGAGAAGAGAGAGAGAACGAGCCCCGGGAACGGCCGGGCGGGTGCTGCGCGCCCGGCCTGGGACGGTGGGTGGGAGTCCCAGTCCTCAGGGCAGAGCGGGGGCCACAGGCGCGTACTGCAAGGAGTCGCTCCTTCAGATTCGGTCCTTCAAAGTGTCCAGGCTCTCTGGAGGCATCGGGTTTTTACTGGGTTCCCCTCCGTCTTGGTATAAAACTTACCCTCTTGCTCACTCCCTGGCAAAACGCCCCCAAGCAACATTCATTCTGTCCCTGTTTGTTTTTCCCACCTCCAAGCCTGCATGTATCTCAAGATGCGCGGATGGTAGACACCCCGGGGGTCTTGACAACAGCTGAGAGTGCATTACCCAGCCGTTACCCCTGCTCTCTAACTAAAGTAATGCAAATACAGGCTTTAGGTCAGCATTACTGGCGTTACCCTAAGGTTGGGGCAATATAAGAGATGGTGTCGCGGTCGTGCAGCTTCCTGCTGAAATATGCCGGTAAACTGTACTCTGCAGGAGTTGACGAATGCAGTGATCAGAACCCCTCTTTGTGACTCCTGTTTACACCCCGTTTCTCTATTAAAAGTTGTGTTTAAATGACAGGACACCTTTACCAATAGGCTGATGAAACCACCGTCGCCTGAGAGGTTTCCAAGACCAGACTTCCAGCCTTGCCTCTCCTCTTAGACCAGCTCTGGGACCTTGGACAAACGGCTTCAAGTCTCCAATTCTCTGTTTTCTCCTCTGTAAAATGAAGAACTTGGCCTAGCAGACCTCTTCTAGTTCTAAAGTGCTACGGTCCTAGGCCTTTAATATGCTGGAGAATTGAATGGACAGGTCTCAGATATTATTACAATTGACCCTTGAACAACACAGATAGGAACTTAGTGGGTCCACTTATATGTGGATTTTTTCCAATAAATATATTGAAAAAATCTTTTGGAGATTGGCAACAATTTGAAAAAACTCCAAGATGAACGGTGTAGCAGAGAAATATCAAAAAATTTAAGAAAAATGGTTCCTTAATACTTTACACAAAATATGTGTAGATATTGGTCTATTTTATCACTACCATAAAAATCAACATTTTTGTCATTAATTTTGGGGGAGCTGAAGTCTGAAGTTATATATGGATTTTCAACTTAAGGGATCCAAATATTATTATTTGGAAAGTTACTGGATTTCTCTACTTTGAGAGAAGAGGAAGTATTTCTCATATTTTTTCTTATATACCTTGTACACAAAGAATCCACCCAACCAGAGATACTTTAACAAAGGTCAAAACATCTTTGATGACCTGGATTACTGCAAAAATTTCCTCAATGAACTATTCATCCCCTGCCAGTATTTACGGAGCATCTACTCAATAAATATTGAATGAAAGGCCCGAGCTAGGCCTTGGAGAAACACAGAGGCATAATACCCTGCAAGAACAGTCTACGGTGAAGTTAGCTTTGATATAGTCTCTCTAAAGGCCATACATTTCTCATAGACTCAAATTATATAGTGTATAGTATTCCTGCCTCAAATTGTCAAGTTTTAGTTTCAAGTGCAACATGAACACTTGAACTGCTATGAATATTTAATCCTACATTTAAATGTATCAATCATGTTAAGGCTTTCTGATTTCTGAATAAAATATGGTAGAAGACAAGAGAAAAACCAAGTCCTAGATGAGTTAGGAGTGTCTTGTCTTTTAAAGAGCGATGAAGAGATTGGTCAGAATGAAGGCAGATTCTCAATAGTTTAACCATCGACATCTATTGAACAATTACTCTCTGCCAGGCAGAGTCCTAACATTCTATACATATGAACATATTGACTTCTCACAGCCCGATAAAGCTATGTACAAACTGAGGCCCATGTACAAACCTCTGTATGTACTGAGGCCTTAACTTGCAAGATAGTATAGCTAAGAAGTGGTAGGGACAGGATTCAAACCCACATCCATCTAATTCTGAGCCTAAGTCTTCAGCTACCAGAACATACTACCTGAAAGAACAGTTTGAGGGGGTGTTAGTTGGTTGGGATTTTTTTTTCTTTTTTGCAAAACATCTTTAAAATGAGGGCTATTAAATTAGTTTCAAGAATGATTTTGATTCTAAATCAAGAATGATTTAGAAAAACACAGGAAATCATATCACTATTTTCAAACTAACAATGTTTACAGAGGTATTTTCTCTAAATCTTTATACTAATAATAATATACCATTTGCAAAAATCCAGACACCTGAAGCATCGAGCAAAGGTTTAAAATAAACATAAATTTGATTCCCCAGCTAAGCTCTAGAAAAATGATAATGATTCCTTTTATTAATGATAATATTAACTGATTGGGACTGGGGAATGAACCTCTCCTTTCACCGGTTTCTTACGAATTAGGACTGAATTCAAGTTATAGTATTTGTTACTGTAAGATACAAGCTCCTTTTGGTCCAAGGTAGTGTCTTGGTCATTTGTTCCAAATTTTCTCAAAAAGAATTTTAAGCAGAGGAGTGAAATAAAGAGGTGCACTTAACCTAAACTTGCATAAAAACGTTTGACAGAAGAATCTCAGTGATTTACTGAGGCTGTGTATTCTCACAAGGAACCACCCCTCCGTTGGTGTGGAACCACTCCTTTGTGATGACTCATATTTAGCGGCATGTCTCCAGATTCCGTTGATCAGCAGACAACTGAACAGATTCTTAATAATCTGTTTATGTTCTGGATAGAAGCAAACACCTCAAATTTCTGCAAGGCTTATATCATTAGAAAAACATTTGTTTTTTTAACAAGTCCTCATATAGTACTTACCCCATGTTTTGCGCTTTACAAATTCTAACTCATGAAATCCTTTTAACAGCTCTATTATCGTTTTACAGATAGAAATTTTAAAGATGCACAGAGAGGTTAAATAACTTGCCCAGAGTCACACAACCAGCAGGTGGCAAAGCCAGGTCCTCAGGCTAGAGTCTTTTCTGAACTTCCACTTGTGCTGCTGGTGAAGGTGACCTCCCCTTCCACTCATAAAGTCCTGTTTTTTTCTTCTTTTAAGCCTAATTCTTTAAAAGTTTCTAAAGATAAAAACAAAAGTTTGTTTAGGAGAAATATTACCCCACCACCAGGACATAAAAACAGATTACTTTTGCCCAGAAGAGAAGAAGGGTGTCTTGCCAATGGGTTTCAGCCCTGGACAAGTTCGCTATGGACTCAGTGTGACCAAAGAAATGACAGTAGAACATTCTTGGGATGAAAGGGTTACACCCAACTTTATTTCCACCTGGCAGGCCAATCACTAAAATCCCGTCCACTCAGAGCGAGTCTGTGTGCAGCAGGCTGGTCTCTGCCTCTGGGCCTCTCTACCGGCACAGCCGTCCTCTGGGCTTCTGTCCTAGGCGCTGCCACCACTCCAGGCTCTCCTCTGCTCTTCTGCAGCCGTGCCACTGTGCCGCCCAGAGCACTGGGCGGAGCTCTTTATATAGAGTCAATAACATGTGTGTAGTGAGCCAGACAACCAGGTGAGAATGCTAGCCATCGGAACTTTCACTTTATCCACAAAGGGACACTAACTTTAAAGTTTGTCTGAAACAGACAACATCTGGGAAGCAATTGCATAACTATTCTTAAGAATGTGTGACAGAACATGAACCAAATGTTCCAAAATTGTTGTGACAGGATACTGGTCTACAAACTACAGCATTTATGTGCTCCTATTTTCTGCTCAGTTGATCTATTATTACAGATTTACTACTTCATTTCTAAAATTTACCCATAAAGATTCCAATACATACCTGTAGGTGTTTTATGTATCACCATAACCTAAAGCTTCATTTTCTATGTCTATATCCAAGGTTAGAATTTGGTTTTTGCAGCTGGCAAATATCAAATTAATGAGGAAAAAATACTATCAGGTGAACCTGCATGCAGAGCAGAACCCAAAGCAGACACCTGGCTCAGGCCTGGGGGACTCCTCAGAGAGCCTAGACATAAAAACCCAAAGCCAATTCCCTTACAGTGACCCTGAGTTCCTGCAAACTTATCATTTCCTGTCCCTGTGCAGGAGCCTCCAGGGGAGGTTTCACAATGCACCTTCAATTCCCGCTCAGTGGGGCTTCGGACAAAGCAGGAAACCTCACACCATTTCAAAGTAACAGCAAAACCCCCAAGCTCTGTATGGGATGCAGCAGAATCTCTGCTCTCCCTGCCTCAGGAACAGGGTTTCTCGAGGAAGACGCCCTGGCCATCACCACCATAGCCACTCAGAGAAGCCAAAAAGATGATGGATGCCCACAGGACATAATCAATGTCTGTGAATGTTACAGATCGCTTTGCCGTCATTTATAAAAGAAATGGTGAAACTACTTCTAAAAACACCCAAATTTTAAAATTAGCAATGCAATTGTTATTGACCCTCTGTTATTGTTGTTATTCTTACCCTTTATTGAGCACTTACTCTATGCAAGGTTTTGTTGTAAGTTTAGCCTTATAAAATGTATTTCGTAACACATTTTGAAAATGAGTATTTCCATGTATTTGTTATGAAATTTCCTTAGGTCACCCACTGTTCTTTTAAATATAATCTAGGGAGAAGTAAAGTTTCTAAACTGAGTGTAAACATATACTTTAGAATTCAGTAATAAGCTCAATAAAAATGTGTTTTAATTTTGTATTTTTGTTTTGGTGATAATGTTAAAAAGCAATATTTTACCCTCTTTACTTGGTGGGGTTAATTCATTCTGGGAAGAAGGGATAATTAAAAACCAGCAGACTTTCCTATAATAAAAGACTTTCATTTCTTAAGTCAGAGTTTTTTCAAAGTGGGAAACTATTCCCAGAGGCTCCTAAGAATTATTTTCTTTAAAAGGGGTCCTTACATTGTTGACATTTGAGAAATGTACTATAAAATTTTTAATTAGAATTTCCTTTAAAGTTCCCCCAGTTTACACATACAGTTAATGTTCCAAAAACTAATATTCATCAAAATTTCATAAGCCATATTAAGAGATGAAAGATACATACAGAGGTCAAAGGAAATGTAACAGAAATATAAGGGACAGAAAAGTGTATGTTACTATTCAATGTGAATGTAATGAGTACTTGAGAATTGATATGATCCTTGTTCTGAGATGATCAGAGCAAGGTAAGATTGAGCTGGGGATTCACTGGATGCAGAGAATGGAAAGAACAATCTGAACAATGGCAAAGGGATGCTAACATTATAAAGCAGAAGTGCCTGAGACTGGTCTCAAGAAAGAAGTTAGAAAAAGAAAAGATTATTCACCTCCCCTAAGAAACTATGAGGATCTCACAATCCTGTTTGCATCAGTCTCCCTAAGAAATCCAAGCCTTCAAAATCATTGCTTGTCACCTAGATTCTTATTACCATATGGTTCTGAACATCCCCTAACTCATCTGTCTCTCTTTTTCAAACTTCCAAGCCCTTCCAGTTTGCCCTTTGGAATTTATGACAAATTAACAGTAAAATATCTTGTATATTCCACCTCTAGAAAACTCTGGTCTCTCCATTCCTTGACTTTCTGCCCTCCAGCAACCTGTTCTTCACTCTACCTGGTACCACGATCGTGTCCAGTTAATTTTTGTTAGAAATAACTACTCCAGTACAGTGACACTCAGATTCTCAGAAGC